TCATAGTAGTCTCTAATAATCTTTTGTGTTTCTGGGGTATGAGTTCCAATGTCTTCTTTATTGTTTCTTATTTTATGTACTCAAATATTCTTTGTATTTTTTTCTTCCTTAGTCTAGCTAACAGTTGATTTTATTGATCCTTTCAAAGAAAATATTTATTTATTTTCTTCATCTTTTGTACTTTTTTTTGGTCTTTAATGTATTTCTACTCTGGTCTTTATTATTTCTTTGCTTCTACCACATTTTGACTTAACTTATTCTTGCTTTTCTAGTTCTTAAAGATGTATTGTTAGGTATCTGCCATCTTTCAATTTGTGTGTGTGTGTAAGTACTTATAGCTAAAAACTTTCGTCTTAGCACTGTTTTTGTTGTATATAATGTGCTTTGATATGTCATGAGTTCATTTTTATTTACTTCAGTGATTTTTTAAATTTCTTTCCTAATTGCCCATTGACCGAGCAGTTATTCAGAAGCATGTTGTTTTGTTTTCATGTATATTTCCCGTTCCTCATACTGAGTTCTAGTTTTATTCCATTATGGTCAGGAAAAAATAACTGATATGACTTTTATCAACATGGCTTTTCTCTATTTTGCACTCATTTGGAATAATGCAACATATTAACTGAATTCTGGATCTCTCATAAAGGTATTTGGTGTATACAGTGTTGCTTAATTAGTGATTCTGTAAAGTAACAAGGATGAGGACCTCCTATTCCACCATCTTCCTAATGTCACTCCATTTACTCCTTTATTTAACAAATATTTTCAATATGCTAACCAGGTGCTTAAGGGTTTATATTTTTAAAAATTGTTACTGGTGCAGCTGCAGTGGCATCAGCAAGAGGGGCTTCTGTGCAGTGGCTGAGGCAGCATGTGAGGCCTGTTTGGGGTTCCCAGCTTAATCCAAACAAGTTGGACACCTTAGAAAATGCATGTAGTCCTAACTAGCCAAGGCTAGAGCAAGAAGGATTGCAATATGGCAAGACCCTTTCGAAAATACCTCTGTCTGCCTCTCTCCTCTTTCTCTCCCTCTCTTTCACACACACACATACACACACACGAATTGCTATTATTAGGCTACAAGCTATCTTCAAAAATATCACAATCAATGAAAAGACAAAATGACAATTACTAATTACTATTTATATTATTGTTTTATTGTATATTATATTATTCTTAAATTCTATATTATACTATACACAAAATGATATAAAATTATCAAGAAGGAAGCACTAAATTTTAACTTGTTACTAAAGTCTGGAAGTACTTTAAGAAAGTCTGGAAGTGCTCTTCCAAAAAAAAAAAGTCAACTCACTGCTTCCTTCATCAAAAAACTTGTTACAAAAATAAATAAATAAATAAATAAATAAATAAATAACTGATGAACTACGTCTGTGTGCTTAATGCCGTAGTGAATTTACATTCTGACATAGGTTTCTGCTCTAGAGGATCCACAACTGTTTGCAGACCAAAAATATAACATATGTTCCATAGAACACAACAAAAATTAAAAATATGACAGAAATGCCTGTCTTAAAAGTTTATTGGGGCGGGGGGAACCAGCAGTTGGCGTAATGGCTATGTCGCTGGATTCTCACGTAGTCGACCACGATTCACGTCCCGGACCCAGTGGCTTAAAAATAACACTG